GCCAGAAATGCCCAGTTATTTCCATAAAAAGATGTGCAACATCATATTTTGGATGAGGGCATTTTCTAACTGAAGCAAGTAACACTTTGCATACTCCTGTCAGCAGGTAACAAAATGGAGATAGCTATCACTCATACAGGTTATGAAAATCTGAAGCCAGTTTCCCAAGCAGAGCTCAATTATTCTCAGACATCAGCTGAATAATACAGATTTTCTTCCCAAGCACTTGTCAAGCGAAGAATATAGACATTCTACAAAGGGCTATGTCAATCAGCTTGAACTCAGCAGCAAAGCAGTGTGACAATGATTTCATCTTTTTGGCAAGAGCCAACTTTAAGAGTGACAAGGGTTTAACAGCAACTCCAAAATTTCAGAGGCACCCTTCTCCCCATAAGTGATGGGGAGCATTCATATGGAGGGAGTTTTTGTTGGCCTCACTTTAGGCACTAGGCTAAGTATTATATGAAAAGGCAGAATTGGTGTTACATGAAAATGGTAAAAGAGAGTATTTTGGAGAGGTGGGGACACCTGCTTGGAAAAGTTCTGAAATTTGTTGACTCATTTGCATACTAAAAAATATTACTGCAAAAAATATTAAGGGATCATTTTCATTAAGCTTTCCCAGGCCCCTGTCTGTAAAAAAGGAAGGTGAGAAAGAGAAATATAAAGGCAATAATCACACACATCATGTAAAACTACAAGTCAGGCAAGGACTGCAGAACAAGTTTCAGGGATGCTACAAAATTTATAAAGTGGGGAAATGATCCCATCATAGAGGTCAGAAAAGGATGGTGAAACAGAGGAGAGGGAACAGTCAGAGTCAGCAGACAAAGAGTTGCTCTGGCCAGCTGGGGTGGCTCATGTCCCAGCACTTTGGGAGGCTGAGGTGGGTGGATCACCTGAGGTCAGGAGTTCGAGACCAGCATGGCCATCATGGTGAAACCCCATCTGTACTAAAAATACAAAATTAGCTGGGTGTGGTGGTGCATACATGTCATCCCAGGTACTCAGGAGGCTGAGACAGGAGACTCACTTGAACCCAGGAGGCTGAGGTTGCAGTGAGCTGAGATCACACCACTGTACTCCAGCCTGGGTAACAGAGTGACACTGTCTCA